TTTTTAAATAACCGAAGACCGGAAGAATTTACTTGCGGCCCGGAGACCCGGAGATCTACTTCGCAGCCCGGAGTCTCCGGGCGAGGCCCGAAGAGGTGGCAACTCTATTTCGAGACGAAAAACGCCTGGTTAATGAAAGGCTTTTGACTCATCCCCACTACCGAAGTTTCACCTCCTGTCTCTAGCCTTCTTGATATAAATACTAGCTTAGGGATCATTCAAATATTACGTCACGCAAATTTGGGAAATTTTAAACTCCTCCCCCTACGTCACATTTTCTTACATAGAAATTGGTAATTTTTACACAGGACGTCACAAAACTGTAGACCCCCCTCCCCTGAGCCTGTGACGTAATATGTGAATGCTCCCTTATACATGAAAAATACAAATCGGTTCACAACATGGTACGTTAACCTTTTTTCATAAATACACAATAATTTACTGTATTTTAACAATAAAACTTTATTTAAAGTCATATTTACAGTGGAACTTCGATTTTCCGTCAGGCACGGGACGAACACCTTGGGGGCCGTCCATAAACCACGTGGACACATTTGGGGGGCGGGGGGTGAATCAAAAGTCCACGTTTGTCCACGAAGAGGACCCTGTAAAAAAAAAAGTATTGGGAGGTACGGGATTCCGTATTGCAAGTGTCAACCTGCCAATGCGGTATTCGCGAATTACCGCATTGGGTGTCCTGGTTAATACGGAAATCAAGGGGTCCCAATGCGATGCCAGTTTTAAGCTTTAAAAAAACGAAAATACGTGACAGGAGGAAATAATTAGTGTCAGTGCAGAAATATGCGAGTTAAAGGAATGAGAAAATAATAATAGTGAGTGTAAAAATGAAACTTTAAGAAAAAAAGGTAAGTTGAACTGTCAAATATGGGCCCAATGCGGCGTAGGCTGCTTTCAATACGGTACACAATCGGTACATAGTGCAAGTCGCCAGTAGAGGGCAGAAGCAAGCAGAGCGAATCGAGCGAGCACAGTGGCCCAGCTGACATATGATTTGCATTACATTACTTTCCAATTTTTTATTTTATAATCACTTTTCTGCATGAATCTAAACAGTATTTTCGATTATTGTAATTTAGAAGATGCTTTCCAATTGTACGTTGGCAGATTTACACGGAAAGAAAAAGTCCGTCAACCATTAATGGATTAGTATATTACTTTGAGACGGGACACTTTTTCCGTTGATGGTTACTTAACTTTACTTAACGATTGAAAACGAGTCATGGATTGATTAGAATGCCAGTATGTGACCAATTGTTTTAGATTTAATGCTGAATTGTTATCAATGGCTGTTTGAATGTTTACGAATCATTAGTGAAAGTTTGTGAAACGTTAGTTGACTCGTATTCTAAATCGGCGCTCTTCACTAGCGCATTGATGCGCAGTGTACCGATGCGCATTTCTTCCGGTTTCTCTATAGTCCATGTGTTTTTGCTGTCTGCTATACATATCCCTATATACTATTATGTGTAATGTGAATATTTAACTTAACTAACAATTTGCAGTTGAATTGCGTCTAGAAATTGACCTCGATGAAAATATATTTTCTTTTATATTTCTCGCTAATTAAAAAGTAGTTATTAGTGCAAAATCATTTCTCACAAGTTGTGAAAAATTTTGTTATTTGGTATATAAGAACAGTTTGCTTCTAAACTTAAAGTGTTATAAGTGTGCGTTTCAACGTGTAGTTATTATAAGTGCGAAAATGTGTTGGAAAATGTGTTGGAAAATGTGTTGGTCTAAAGCGTCTAAGAGTGTAAATAAAATATCGGAACTGTGCAACGAAAAAAATGTGTTCATTCTGTACCAAATAGTGTCTAAAATTAGGGATAATTCTGAAAGAAGTTGAATTTTTTGAATGCTTTTGATAGTCATAGAAAATTTAATAGACAGTTTTCTAAATTTTAGTGAACGAGTTTTATATATTGATGACAGTTTTCTAAATTATAGCAAGCAACTCGTCACTGATTGTGACTCAAAGTATGTTATCCATTGAATGATTTTGTGTCCCGTCTCAAAGTAATATACTAGTCTATTAATGATTGACGGACTTTTTCTTTCCGTGTAGTGAAAAGTGTCTGTGTACGGAGACAAATGTGTTAGAAAATGTTTGTTTACCTATTTCACGCCATTCAAACCAGTCAAAGTTGCTTTTGCTGTGGCGCATTGAAATCAGCCTATGCCGCATTGGGCCCATATTTGACAGTTCAACTTACCTTTTTTTCTTAAAATTTCATTTTTACACTCACTATTATTATTTTCTCATTCCTTTAACTCGCATATTTCTCCACTGACACTAATTATTTCCTCCTGTCACGTATTTTCGTTTTTTTAAAGCTTAAAACTAGGACACAATTGGGACCCCTTGATTTCCGTATTCACCACGACACCCAATGCGATAATTCGCGAATACCGCATTGGCAGGTTGGCACTCGCAATGCGGAATCCCGTACCTCCCAATACTTTTTTTTTACAGGGGAGCGGGGGTGTTAAAGCAAATGTCAACGTGGACATATAATCAAAGATATTTCCAAAAAAGATATCTTAAGCTTAATCAGGATGATCATAAGTTTCAGTTAATCAATTTCCTTAACAATTTACTGACATTAAAATTCATTTTCCTGACAAAATTCTTTTTACAGGAAAATATGAATGTTTACGGAAAATGAGTAAAATTTATGATTTTAATTATTTTTTAAAATGACAATTATAACCCTTCCTGAATTCAATTATTTTCTACAATTTCCACCCAGTAAAAAAAAAGTATTGGAAGAGAGCGAATAGTATTGTCGGTGAGTTTCTGCCAATACGGTTTTCATGCGAAAACGTATTGGCAGAAACTCACCGCCAATACTATTCGCTCTCTTCCAATACTTTTTTTTTACTGGGCAACTAAACCTTCGTCTCTGAATCAATTAATTTAAATAATTTTCCGAAAGTTCTTCTAAAATTCTGTTATATTTTAAAATTATTTTTGAATTTGATTGATAAATTTTAATTAAAAATTTTTAACATGATTGTTTCCTCTAAAATGTTAAAAATAATTTTAAAATGCTATTTTTATGTATATATTTGAATTTTTGAAAATATGTAATTGAAAATATTGAATTTTAAAAAATTAGAAGCTAATTTTCATTAATTTTCATTTTTAAATTTACCTTTAAAGATTTTTTATTCTTCAAAAATTGTAACAAAAGACTTGAAATAAATTAATTATTTTAAATTAAATTTTACAAAATTTCAACTACGTATTCAAAAAGATTTGTTTATAGTTATTTTTCACATTATAAAAATCAAAATAACTTGTACTTTTTTGTTACTAAAAATTGTGGTATTTTGTCGCAATTTTTTTAAATGAGTCGCAAAAAGTCACAATTTTCTTAATTTCCCTGACAAAAAATTTTTTCCTGACATTTCCCTGACTTTACTGACATTCTTGCTTTGAAATATGTTCAAAAATAATCTTTTCTATTTTTTAACATACAGGAGTAAAAAAAAACTTATTTTTTTAATTTGCAATATCCACGTGGACAATTGTATAGGGGGGAGGGGGTTTCACAAATGTCCACGACGGGGGGGGGTCAAGAATTGGTGAAAAATTGTCCACGTGGTTTATGGACGCCCCCTTGACGGAAAACCAAAATGACGGATAGTCGAAGTTACAAGTGATTTGAGATTTTTATAACCTATACTTGTCTATATTTTGGACTTCAACATGTAAACAAACAATTTTACAAAACAATTACACAATTAGTTTAAAATTTGTATTAAAAAAAACGTAACATCTTATTTTTTTTATTTAAAAAAGCCGAAAACAGACTGAAGAAAATATCTAAACTGCAAGAAATTAGAGGTTATGGCTGCTTAGATATTTCTCTCCAGAGAAATATATTGAAATGAACTTACAAAGTCAATTTTTTTAATAAAAAAAAAAAATCATCTTGGACAGTGACAGATAACAGCGGTGACGATAGACCGAGAGACGGAAAATCGAAGTTCCACTGATGTACTTTAAAAATTAATATATCTTCTTATTAAAGGAAATAGATTTTTATAAAGAAAAAACATAAACTTTAAACGCGTTTTTCTCGAAATAACGTTTTTCAAAACGGTGGGCAGTCTAGCTAGAACAGTTTTGATCGGATTGACTTCGGACAAAGTTTTTTTTTATCGTCATTTACTAATGCTTTCGAGTATGTAGCGGATTTTTTTTGGTGTCTTTGGTTTTTTTTTGGCAACAGATTTTTTGACAAATTTTTGCCCTAAAAATCGACTTTTTACTTCAAACAACTGCCAAATACACCAAAATTAATATTTTTAAAATATCCTACGTACTCGAAAGCTAAATCTATCTCAGAATCAGAAAAACTTTGAATTTTTGATTTAGATTAAACGGTCTAACCGGAATCTTGCCCACCGATTTGCTCTGCAAAGAAAGGAGACCAACTTCGGCGCTCTCTATAGGCAACAAATTTAAACTTTTTTAATGTATAAATATATTTTTGTGAACTTAAAAAGTTCACAAATAATTCCCTTAAAACCGAATTTTGTTTACTTTATTCCCGTGTCTTAAAAAAATTCATGAAAAACAGGTTCAAAAGAGGCCTCAAAGGTGTCACTCCCCCTTAAAAAATTTGCATTTGAGTAAAAATTACAATTTTCGTCAATAAGAAATATTTGTTAAATTTTAGGTTATGTTACTTAAATAGTTTCTTATTGATGGAAAATTATTATTTTTATTCAAATGCAACTTTTAATTGTTTAAAATTTTGATCAAGTTAACTAAGCCCTTGTAATTATATATTATAAATAATAAATCAAAAAAGTGAATTTTATTCAAAATAGTCACCGATCTGAAGTTAATAAAATTTTTTCAAAAATATAATTGTATGCGCTTATTTAAACGAATATTTAAATTTCTATACAGCTTATGCACTTTTATTTGATTAAAGTTTATTTTCAAATCGTGAGTTAAAACATACCTTCCATACATTCGTTTACACTTTCATAGTCTGAATAAGTTCTTGTTTCAGGTCTATTGCCTGGTTGTACTAGAAGAATTGTATGAGACTGAAACATAAAAATGTGTTTTTAATGACAAAATTTATTCATTACCTTAATCAAAAATTAATGCATGATTTTACAGGATACGGAAAGAAAAATATTTACAGATATCTAACTACAAAAAAATATATTGGCAAAATATTAAAATTTTTAAAAGACTCACCATGTTTTACAACTAATAAAATATTATTTCTGTTTACAAAATTAATATACATATACTAATAAGAAATAATAATAACAAACTTCTATTTTGTTTCTCTCTTATTTAAAATAGACTCATACAAACTGAAGTCTTGAACTACTATAGGAATTGATGCGTATTTCATCTCACGAAGAAAATTTAAATGTCTCACTTAGTATTACTAATTGAAAAATGCCACTAGGTGTCTCTAAGGGCGCAGTCCCATGTGAGCAGAATACGTCGACCGAAAGCAGGCTGCAGGTTGTCATGGCAACATACAAGAGTAAGAAAGTTAGTGAATTAAAATTTAATGGACTTTTTCTCTCATTTCTGTTGCTCCTGCCTACACAGCAGGATTGGAAAATGACGCGACATTTTTTGTTTCTCCAATAGGTTTTAAAAAGTATGCGAATGACTGCGTCTGCGTCGGTTGCTATAGCAACACATGCTAAAATCAACGCAACGCAGTCATTCGCACACTTTTTAAAACCTATTGGAGAAAGGCCTTAAAACTCTGCGTTTGTCTGCGAATGAAGGCCTAAGCACAATAGATTCGCGAAAGTTGTTCGCGAACGCAAAGCATGAGTTAGAAAAGGACAGTGATATATTTGTGTCCTTGTCTATCTCATGCGTCTCGTTCGCAAACGACTTTCGCGAACCTATTGTGCGTTGGACTTGACTGCGTTGCGTTATGTTTTTTAGTCTTTTAGGCCGCAGTCCCATGGCAGCGTTTTGCGTTGCGTTGTAATGAGAGAGAATGCAGCAAACGTATATTTGCGTCTTTTTCTCTCCCATTACGACGCAACGCAAAACGCTGCCATGGGACTCCAGCCTTAATGGCCGCCATCTTTAAAGGCCTTTCTCCAATATGTTCCTAAAACTCTGCGTCTGCGTCGGTTGCTATAGCAATACATGCTAAAATCGAGACGCATGCATATCCCCTAATCACCAAGTCGTCGAATGATCAAATAGTCGAATGCCAAGTAATCGAATGGACAAAACGTCGAATGCTAAAAACATCGAATCGGCATTTAGTCGAATGCTAAAAACATCGAATTGTCAATACGTCGAATGTTCAAAACGTCGAATTATCAATTCGTCGAATGTTAAAAATATCGAATCGTCAATATCACGAATTTTCAAAACGTCGAATTATCAATTCGTCGAATGTTAAAAACATCGAATTGTCAATACGTCGATTGTTCAAAACGTCGAGTGATAAAAACGTCGAATGCTAAAAACATCGAATCTTCAGTTAATCGAATGCTAAAAACATCGAATTCTCAATTCGTCGAATGTTTAAAACGTCGAATGCTAAAAACGTCGAATGTTCAAAACGTCGAATGCTCAAAACGTCGAATCGTCATTTAGTCGAATGGTAAAACCATCGAATAGTCCATTCGTCGAATGTTAAAAACGTCGAATGCTAAAAACATCGAATCGTCAACATGTCGAATGTTCAAAACGTCGAATTATCAATTTGTCGAATGCTCAAAACATCGAATTGTTAATTCATCGAATTTTCCATTCGTCGAATGTTCAAAACGTCGAATGACGAATGACGTTTTGAGCATTCGACGTTTTGAACATTCGACGTTTTTAGCATTCGACGTTTTAAACATTCGACGTTTTGAACATTCGACGAATTGCACGGAGAGAAAAATCAAGCGTTTGTAGTAAGACATGGTCTATACTTAAAAAGCACGGCGCTGTTTATACTCGATTTGTAGAAATCTATGCTAAAAGAGTATAGGTCTCTACTAAAAGAGTATAGGTCCCTACTCTTTTAGCATAGATTTCTACAAATCGAGTATAAACAGCGCCGTGCTTTTTAAGTATAGAAAATGTCTTACTACAAACGCTTGATTTTTCTCTCCGTGTGAGAATTCGATGTTTTTAGCATTCGATTAACTGAAGATTCGATATTTTTAGCATTCGACTACATGACGATTCGATGTTTTTAGCATTCGACGTTTTTATCATTCGACGTTTTGAACATTCGACGTATTGACAATTCGATATTTTTAACATTCGACGAATTGATAATTCGACGTTTTGAACATTCGACGTATTGACAATTCGATGTTTTAAGCATTCGACTAAATGCCGATTCGATGTTTTTAGCATTCGACGTTTTGTCCATTCGATTACTTGGCATTCGACTATTTGATCATTCGACGACTTGGTCCAGGGTGGCCGCTGGACCGGGAAACCGGGAAAACCGGGAAATGACAGTGAATTTTTTTGGACAGGGAAAAACCGGGAAATGACAGTGAATTTTGATCTTGACCGGGATTTTGGAATTTTTTTTTTAAAAACACATTACTTTGTGAGAAAAAATAGAAATATTTATTTTAAGACTTAGGTATTAACTATATTTCATTAAAAAAGATTGAATGATCTTCTATAAAATCTATTTATATTTTGTCAGAGAATTTTATAAAAAGTACTATAAAAATATTCAATTTCTAGAATTTATAAGAAAATTATGAATTTTGTTGTCCAACATAACAGACTTAGAAAAAGAAAATATTAAATTTAATTTTAAATTCTTTCTATTTCTAACAATAATTAAACAAAATATAATTTTAATTAAATTTGTCAAAAAAATTTCAAAGAGAAAAAATTTCACATCCTATAAAATAATGAAAAATAAATCAATTTAAAAATTTTTTTGCAATTAATATTATAACAAAACAAATAAGAATTATTAAAAATTTGAACTAATTAGAACAAAAGTGATACGAAATTTATAAAAATGAATTTTTGAATAATAAATAAAGTAAATAAAAATAAATAAAATTTCTTTTCTTAGAAAATAAATTTTAAAAAACCGTATTTTTCATTAATATCAATTAGTTTTTTTACAATTATTCATAAGCAAATTTTTCGATTTTTTAGAATGTTAAATTAATATTACTAATATTATTATAGATTGAAATTTTAAAAAATTTCAAATTGAATTTTTAGAAAAGTTGAATTTTAAAAGATTTTAATTAATAATTCTGAATAATTTAGTCTTTAAAATATTTTTATTCACATTTTTTCAAATTAGTTACACTACCGTCGGGAATTATCGGTACGGCTGCACACGCACGGCCCAAAAACATACCAATCTTTAAATCGCGATTTTTTTGTAAATACAAATGTCAGAAAATTAAAAAATATACCATTCGAAAGATTATTAAATTCTACGATTAATGATATGCAACTGAAAATTTTAATAATTTATACAAAGCTTGTAGCAATCTACAAATTTGACAAAACAATTTAAAAAATAAAATTTTTTTGGAAATTTTTTCAACCCCTGCACATTTTTTAAAAATTGTAGAAAAAATTTGAAACTTATATAAGTGTGATCATTCAAATTTCATCTTTAATTTAAGACCAAAAGAGTTTAAAAATCTTATTCGGTTCGTGATATATCATTATAAACGTCCGAGCATGTTTTTTGACAAATGCATTGAATTAGTCGATTTTGAACGGTTTTTGGCTGAAAATGCTCGTCCATTTATAATGATATCTTACTAACCGATTAAGATTTTTGAATTCTTTTGGTCTTAAATTAAAGATGAGACTTGAATGATCACACCTATATAAGTTTTAAATTTGTTCTACAATTTTTGAAAAATGTGCAGGGGTTGAAAAAATTTCCAAAAAAATTGTATTTTTAAAATTTTTTTGTCAAATTTGTCAATTGCTGCAATCTTTGTATAAGTTATTAAAATTTTCAGTTATGTACCATTAATCGTAGAATTTAATAATCTTTCGAATGGTATATTTTTTAATTTTCTGACATTTGTATTTACAAAAAAATCGTGCCTTAAAGATTGGTATGTTTTTGGGCCGAGCGTGTGCAGCCGTACCGATAATTCCCGACGGTAGTGTATGTTTTTAAATATGTAATATTTAATTGAAAAATTTTCAAATTATTCAAAATTTCATGAAATTGTCTTGTAAACAAGTGGATTTTAGAAATATTTTAGTTATTTCTAGAATATAATTGAATTGAAATTTTGCAAATAATTTTTAATAAGTTACAGTAGCAATTCTTAAAAATTATTCTAATTTAAAGGATTTGAAATTTGAATTTTTTTTTAAAATTTGAGTACCTACTATATGGAAAAATAATGGATAATAATTAAATATTTATTTCAAAAAATCTATTTAAGTTCAAAATTATTTTTAGAGTAAACTAAAATATTTTTAGGGTTTGGGAAAAAGTTAAAGTTTTGTCTAAAAACAGGAAATTTTTTCAATCTTTCATTGAATAATTTATTTTCAGAGTTATTATTTATGACCGGGAAAAATAATTTATGACCGGGAATGGACCGGGAAATGACCGTGAATTTTTTTTTACAAAAAAAGTGGCCACCCTGTTGGTGATTAGGGGATATGCATGCGTCTCGATTTTAGCATGTATTGCTATAGCAACCGACGCAGACGCAGAGTTTTAGGAACATATTGGAGAAAGGCCTTTAAAGATGGCGGCCATTAAGGCTGGAGTCCCATGGTAGCGTTTTGCGTTGCGTTTTGTAACTAGGCCATGAGTGCAAATAGAGCAAACATATATCTCTATCTCTCTTTCACTCATGGCCTAGTTACAAAACGCAACGCAAAACGCTATCATGGGACTCCAGCCTAAAAGACTAAAAAAACATAACGCAACGCAGTCAAGTCCAACGCACAATAGGTTCGCGAAAGTCGTTCGCGAACGAGACGCATGAGATAGACAAGGACACAAATATATCACTGTCCTTTTCTAACTCATGCTTTGCGTTCGCGAACGACTTTCGCGAATCTATTGTGCTTAGGCCTTCATTCGCAGACAAACGCAGAGTTTTAAGGCCTTTCTCCAATAGGTTTTAAAAAGTGTGCGAATGACTGCGTTGCGTTGATTTTAGCATGTGTTGCTATAGCAACCGACGCAGACGCAGAGTTTTAGGAACATATTGGAGAAAGGCCTTTAATGCCTTTCTACGGAAGTGCCTACGCGCCACGAGGCAAAGAGAGGAAACCTGTTTCTGCTAATGTCGTTTTAGCTTGTGAAACATACACTGTAAAAAAATCTGGTGTAAAATAACACGAAACTTGTAATTTCACACATCAAAATTATAGGTTGTACGTAGTAAATTTATTTCGTTCCAAAAGTAGTTTTACTATTTTTAATAATTTTACATTATACGACTATGTAATTTAATAGTTTTGTGTAAATTTACTACGTCCGACGTAGGAAAATTTGATCACTATGTCCGACGTGGTATTTTTACATTGCGTGTATTTCTACACTTTGACGTAATATTACGTCGCACGATCTGTACAATTACATGGCGAATGTAATTTTCTTATTCCTTTAAGATTTTCAAAAAATTTTCAAGTTTTTATAAATAACTCTAAAAAAGTGTATATAATGTACATTTATAGAAAGTATATGCTAATTTATAAGTAAATAATAATATAACAAAAAGTTTTGGGCTATATTTCATAAATACAAAAAGTTACGACTGAAAATATTATTTCAAAAAATATTTGCAGGTTATGTAGATTACAGTCGGCGTGTAAAAATACCACGTCGGACATAGTGACCAAACTTTCCAACGTCGGACATAGTAAATTTACAGCAGATTTTTTTACAGTGTAGGATCACGTTCGATGGTTCGCTGGTTCGGTGGTTCGATGATGTGATTGTTGGTAAATAAAAAATAAGAAATAAAAATGAACCAAATTAATTTAAATTGACAATTTTAATGTAATAAAATATTTTTTAGGTATTATTTATAACAGAGATATTAATTACGAGGTAAATTAGGTGCTTTAAAAAAAATCATATATTTTGAAGTTATAAAATGTGTTATGAAAAAGTAATGGAAAAAGGTCAACATTAGGCCTTAAATGTGATAACATTTTATAACTTCAAAATATATGATTTTTTTAAAGCACCTAATTTACCTCGTAATCAATATCTGTTATAAATAATACCTAAAAAATATTTTATTACATTAAAATTGTCAATTTAAATTAATTTGGTTCATTTTTATTTCTTATTTTAAATTTTTTATTTAGCAACAATCACATCATCGAACCACCGAACCATCGAACGTGTTCCTATGTTTCACAAGCTAAAACGACATTAGCAGTAACAGGTTTCCTCTCTTTGTTTTGTTTTGTTTTGATTTGTTTGAATGGCCTCTTGTAAATACAAATAGCCAGTACGAGTTTCCTCTCTTTGCCTCGTGGCGCGTAAGCGCTTCCGTACTACGCTGTTACACCGGCATCTAAAGCGTGGCGTAGAGGGTTTCAATTTATTTTCACACCGGAAGCCACTTTTCTACAGCAATCGCCCATCCAGTTAATATAGAGATCAGTGAGCCTGAGGCTGGAGTCCCATGACAGCGTTTTGCGTTGCGTCGTAATGGGAGAGAAAAAGACGCAAATATACGTTTGCTGCATTCTCTCTTATTACAACGCAACGCAAAACGCTGCCATGGGACTGCGGCCTGAGGCTGGAGTCCCATGGTAGCGTTTTGCGTTGCGTTTTGTAACTAGGCCATAAGTGCAAATAGAGCAAACATATATCTCTATCTCTCTCACACTCATTGCCTACTTACAAAACGCTATCATGGGACTTCAGCCTGAGGCCGCAGTCCCATGGCAGCGTTTTGCGTTGCGTTTTAATAAGAGAGAATGCAGCAAACGTATATTTGCGTCTTTTTCTCTCCCATTACGACGCAACGCAAAACGCTGCCATGGGACTCCAGTCTGACTTTTTCGGTAAATTTTTTTTCTACCGACCGTCGTATAAATGTACCCTCACACCTTCGGTAAAAATTTCCAGAACGCCGAACGGGAAATTTTTACCGAAGGTGTAAACGCTCCCTTAGGACAATTTCACAACTATGACTATAAAGAACACAGATAGTAAACTCACTGCTTAAATAAAATTCTAACAAATGAACATTGAAACATTTGGACATTCTAAGGGTGCGATCCCATGTGAGCAGAATACGTCGACCGAAAGCAGAAAATCATGAGAGTGAAAAGAACAACAATATCTACTTATCTCTTTTGCACTCATGATTTTCTGCTTTCGGTCGACGTATTCTGCTCACATGGGATCGCACCCTGACTTTTGGAAATTTAACAAATATAAACATTCCAACTTTTGGAAATTCGAACAAATAAACATTCTAACTTTTAGAAATTCTAATAAATAAACATTCGAACTTTTAGCTATTCGAACAAATAAATATTGGTACTTTTAGAAATTCAAACAAATAAACATTCGAACTTTTAATAATTCTAACTTTTAGAAATTCTAACAAATAGACATTCGAGCTTTTAATATTTCTAACTAATAAACATTCGAACTTTTAATAATTCTAACAAATGAACATTCTAACTTTTGGAAATTCTAACAAATGGTTATTCTAACTTTTAGAATTTAGGAAAAAATAAGGCGTCTCGACAATTCCAAGAAATGTGCATTGGAACTTTTGACTTTTGACAATGAACAAACATGAACTAGGATTTGAGCTTTTTGCTATTCGAAACAGTTGAGCTATGTGACGTCGACGTTTAATTCAGTTTAATTTTTGTCTTTGTCAGCCTATAACAGTAGTCTCTACATTTTGTTTGTATGTGTTTAACTCAAGTTTAACTGCACATTGGCTATGATAAAAATTCCCTCCCGTCGTTGTTAGATTGTTGATATTAATCTTTACAAGCTACAGACATCTGCTGACATTGAATAGAATAATAAAGAATAAAATAAAAAGAAAACAGTTTTTCAGTTATTCCAACTGAAAAATGAGAATATTGATTGAGTAATGTGAAAATATCGTTAGGTGTATAAGGAGCGACAGGAAGGAGAGAATGAAAAAATTGTTGTTTCTTGTTTAACAACCAGAGGCAAACGTCGCGCATCTTCTTTGTAGCGCATGTACATAGATACATACATACATACATATATGGATATATACTACAGAAAGACGACGACGACGACGACGACGTATCATTATCGTTATCTTCGCCAACGTCGCCAATTGTAACCAACTAAAAACTGAAATTGTGATACAGCTTTTTGTTGGTGAGACGAGAGCGACGAGAACGACGCGAATTTCACGATACATCCCTGGGTCTGTGACTAGAATTGGAGACCTGTTTGACAAAAGACCAAGTGTTTGAGAGTGATAGGAAGTTCATTTTAATCAGTTTTGTCTATTTGAACGTTTCGTTGTTACGCGTTTGGACATTGACAGTTTCGTGTTGGTGCGTCGTATTTTGTGCTCTTTTTAACAAAACTGCTGGAAGAATCGAGAGTAAAAAAGCCACTTTCATAGGAACATAAGTGAGAGGTGAATTGGCGTCGAAATCATCTCGAGGTCTTTTATAACCATTAAAATTTCGTCGTAAATCTGTCATTCGTCGTTGTTTGCAAGTGAAAACTGGTGAAGGGGAAAACGAAAATTTTCTCGTTTACGGTGGTAAGGTGTTGTAACAGTTCCTGAGGGATGTCTACGCCCGCCAGAAGAAGACTCATGAGGGACTTTAAAAGGTAACAATAGTAATTGTTCGACACATTTTCTTTTCACCCCGCGAACAAGAAGACAGATTAACGTCATCGCATCGGTATTAATAGAAATTCGATTGCGATATTTTGCTTCCATATTATTTGCTACATTTTACCTTTAGCCTTTTCTCTCAAATTATATATTTTAATAAGAAAACACTCCTTTCTCGTAAAAAAAAGCGAAAAGATAAATAATTGAAATTTGTATATTGAGTTGTTGCCTTTATGCAAATATGTAATATAGTTTGACATATAATTAAACTTATTTATTATCAATTTATTTAGAATCATTTTGGTTATAATACTTTTTTATTCGTAACGTCCAAGAAAAAAATAAATAAGGCTTGTTGCACATTCATTCAATAAGTGGACGAGAAAGTATACTCTCTATTTGTGTGAAACTATATTTCCATTTCATCTGAGTTTTCGTCACTACTTTTACACATGAAATTGAAGAAAAACCGCAATGACAAAGGCTCGAGCAAGTGTCACATTATTGAGACAGAAAATAGAAACTAGAAGAAAAGCCATTAAACTAATTATTAAAACTACGTATTTACAAGTTTTAGTGAATTTCAAGAATAGGAAAGTTGAACAAAATTAGCATTACGAATAATTAGTATGCGATTAATAAAATCACAAGAGATGTGACAAATTTATCCTAAAGTTATTGTTTAAATTGTTAAAAAGCTCTTTCGTGTATTTTAGTACCATATCCTTGTTTTATTTTTATAACACAATATAAACAAGTCCGAATTATAAATAATTTATTAAATTTAAACAACAGTTACTTAATAATAATATATTTAAAGCTGCAGGCTTCGTACTCATCTACTAAAAATTACTATTTACTACAATTGTGATATCTTTTTTTTAGATTTTAGACACTAAAAGATACTTTTTTCAGTTTTTAAGAATTTGCTCTACTTTAAATTCGCTACAGTGCAACCTGTCGGAATGCAACTCGATTTTTTAAATTTTATTATAGTATTAAACAATTCTTTAAAAAATTGTTTCATAATTTAATTCTGTAATATTTTTACAATATTCTGGAACTAAGTGAAAATAATCAAATTTATCGGAAAAATTCAATTATTGTCAATACAATTTGAATAAAATTTCTTGGTGGAATTTAATTATTTTTAAAAAATGTATCAAAATTCGTTGATAGAATTATTTTTTTAAAAATTATAATAAACTGTTTAGCAGAATTCAAATATTTTCATTACAATTTCAATTAAATAATTCCTCGTACGAATTTAAATTTTCTTCGAAACAATTGAATTTGTATTTTTAAAAATTTTATTTTTTAAATTATTTTTATCTATATTATCATAAATAATAAAATTTTCACAGAAATTCAATTATATAATTAATGTAATTTAATTTAAATTATTTTTAATTCAATTGAGCTCCCGCGGGCAATAACTCGATCTGCGCTCGGACGCAAGCGCTAGTACCAGTCGGGGAGCAGTGAGCGCCTCTGCGCCACTCACTGCCACCCGACTGGTATTAGAGAGTGCGTCCGAGCGCAGATCGAGTTATTGCCCGCGGGAGCTCAATTGTAAATTAATTCTTCGAAAAAAACATTTATTCTTGAAAATTTTATTTAAATTCTTTGAAAGAATTCAATTATTTTCAAAAATTTTGATAAAGTTCTCTATAAAAATCAAATTTTAAGAAATATTCGATTATTCAATAAATAATTAATTTTTTTATTTAAATAATTGAATTTCTCGTACAACTTTTTCTAATAAAAATAGATTTAAAATGGAATTTCAGTTAAAGTTTTGAAAAATAATTGAATTTTAGAAGCGTTATAACAGAAATTTTTAGAAATAATTAAATTTTAAAGGGTTTTTAAATTAAAATCTTTGCAAATTTTAATTGTTGTAAGACTGTAATAATATTAAAATATCAAATAATATTAACATTAATAATAATGTTACAATTTAATCCGTTATTTATAAATAATATAAGTAAATGACACATAATTTATTGATTAAGTAAAATAGAAGGATATTACAATCATTATAATTACATTATTTTATTTATTCATGTAAAATTTTATTTTTGTTCATTCGAATTCAATAACTTAATTTTTTCAATAATCGAATTAAGCTTCAAATAAATATATAAGAAAATAGATATATCATTAGCAGATAATAATATAAGAAATTAATCAGTCTATATAATATTGAGATTTTCTCCTCTATAAATTACAAAAACATAAGTATATATTTCCTTTTTGCTTTTACTTTAAAATTGTTTCTTTGCAATAATAAATTTACAAGTAACCATTCGTTTGTATTTATATAAATTTTTTAAAACGATGTCTTATTTGTTTTAATGATTTTTTTGGCTTCTTTAAATAAATTTTGAATCTAATGTTCCTATAGTTTTGAACGTTCAAACAAACGACAATATTTTATGTTGCTTTATTTTATTTATATTTTATTTTAAAAAAACTATTTCTTAACCAAGCAAAAATGTTTTATCTACATTATCCTCCATTTCATTTAGTAAATTTTTGAAAAATATTTAAACAGAAAAAATTTTATTCTTTTAAACGTTCATAATTTTAGACAAAATATAAATCTATTTTATTTTTTTATTTGAATGAAATTGTATTATGTACTAATCAATAAATTTCAATAAATTACTATTTTTTACCTTTATCAAGTTCATCAACGTTATAATTATCATCGATTTAGAAGAAAAAAAAATACACAAATTGATTGCTCTAGAGGTATTTAAATAATTATTGTAAGTAGCAATTGTTTAATAAAAAATACGATCTTCTTTAATTGTATTAATTACATGCAAAGATTAAAAGAAGAATTTTTTTTCGCTCATTATTACATTGAAAAATAGAAAAAAGTTAAAAATATGTTTGAAATTAAAAGATTTCTTTGTTTGATATGAATCTCCTTAAGATTTTACTCAGAATGTTCCTCAGATGCATCGTCCTTATTATTTTGTTTCTTTCTATCAATCGCTTCTTTCTTTTCTTTTTGGGATTTCTTGAAAATCTCCAGGGATTCTTCTAATGGTTGGAGAAATTGTTCCAATTCGATATCCTTCATAGCCTCTGTTACATCTGCTCCGCTAATTGTTTTTCGATTATGGTTTTTGGCAATTGTATTGGCAGCAGTTGTCAGGTATAAAATAAATATCGACGATGCTTTGGCCACTGCAAGCTTTGCATCTTTTCCAATTGCAACACCACTGGGGAGTGCATCCTTAATTAAGCGAGTTACAACCGCATACGGTAAATTTAAATCCTCTATACGTTCTGCCATCTATTACATATCAGTATTTTTATTATTTCTATATTTATTTTAAATAATAAAAATAATAATAAAATTCAGCAAACATTATTTATCGTAAACATGTTTTAAATCTTCTTTCAATTGTAAAATTTAAAAAGTAAAATTAGAAAATTATATTTTCTTTTTTGTTAAATACTTACAAAATAATAACTAAACTCTGAATTAGTGAAATTTATCACAGGCAAAGATAATTGAGGTTAGGTTTTATTAAGAACAAAAAGAGGACTTACATTTAGCTTAAAAAGGGTTCTTCTCCTTTTTATGAAGAATATTGATGAAGTAAAAACAGATTTGATTTATGTAATTTAAATATAAAATGCTGCCTCTTATTAAATTAAGATATTGTTGGACAATAACTACCATGTGCCTTTATTTTTGAGTTGTCGTTACCTTCTTCTTCTTCTTCTTCTTCTAACTCGTAAGTGTTCGTAAGTGTGTGATCAATTAAATGTGATGGATGAGTGTTTTCAATTCTCTCTTTTGTAATTTAGAAAATATAAATATTATTTAATTAGAGAAAATCTATTATATTTCTTAGTAGTCACAGTGTCTTGTTATGACTAATAATTAATTTAATGTTACTTGAATACATTCAGTATTTGTGCGCGAAATTCAAACGAAAGTTTCAAATTTTATTCCAATATGCAGACTGTAGTAATTTAGATTTTATTAATAATTTATTAAATTATTAAACAGTATTATAAATTATAGAGGAGTTGCAAATTTTATTTTACCTTACATTCTCTTAATGTAAGACACTCATTTTTTAAATTGTTTAAATATTTGCAGATTTAGATTAAAAAAGAAACTGATGTACATTTGAGGATAAAAAACAATTTTAACTCTAAATGCATTCTTATTTTTAACATTAAAACATGTTGCGCATTTAGAAAGAGAAAAGTAAAGTTAATCTTCTTATAGCATAAAAACTACTTATTTTATTTTTACTTTAGAATAGAATAGAATAGAATAGAATATATTTATTATGTTCTAGGTAAATACCACGAGGACAACCATTAAAAATACAGTAATTAATAACATATAGGTATATCATATAAAGTTAAATAAAGCTATATACATCTCATTCAGACAATAAAATACTTTGATTTACAAATTATCACAGCAACTCACATACAGATGACATACCAATCAAGATACACTCTATATACTCTATACATCCAACGAAAATAAATATTTATATAATTGTAGTTTAAATGTTTTTGGACTTTCAATATTTGTCATAGAACAAGGAAGAGAGTTCCATAAATTTATGGCAGTAACCATGAACGAGTTTTTATATTTTTCTGTTTTACATTGTGGAGCCCTAAGAATGCAAGGAGATCTTAACTCTCTACACTGAAAGAATTTTGGGGAGGCTGCTGACTATTAATGTCCGAAATTAGTGCCCCTTGCTCAGGGCTCGCAGCTCACCTCAAAAAAGCGAGCATCTACTCCCGAAAGGTGAGCAGCTGCCCCTGAGGAGTTGCTGCTTACCTTTCGGGAGTAGATTCTCGCCTTTTTGAGGTTAACTGCGAGCTTGAGGCAGCGAGCTCTAGCGGCACTCATGTAAAGCCTGCAGCTTCCCCAAAATTCTTTCAGTGTAGTAGTAATTATGAAAGTTACCAACGTTGATTCAACGAAAAACTTAAATAAAAATTTTCTCAGGATATAAATTTTTCTTGTATATTTTTAACCCAAGTAAACTCTCCAAACCCTAGAATAAAAAAAACGTGGGTAAAAAAGTGATTTTTATTTTTTTTTGGCAAATTTTTTCCAAAAATCACGAAATTTTAATTAAATTCATAATTCCTCGCCTCGGTAGTCATTTTTTTCTTTTGATAATTGTTTATTCTAATGTCGAGTGCCATTTAAACAAAATTCCAAGTAGTTCCAAGTCGGGGAAAGCAGTGATTTTGGTTTTTTTGTCACGGATTTTTGAAAAATCCGAGCATTTCAAGTAATTTAATAATTCCTCGCCTCGGTAGTTACTTTTCTCTTTTGATAATTGTTTATTTTAATATTAGACGTTATTTAAAAAAAATTTTAAGTAATTCCAAGTCGGGGAAAGCAGTGATTTTGAATTTTTTTGTGTCACGAATTTTCCAAAAATCTCGAAATTGCAAATTAATCAATGATTCCTCGCTTCGGTAGTCATTTTTTTCTTTTGATAATTCTTTATTTTGCCATTAGACGTTATTTTAAAAAAACTTCAAGTGATTCCAAGTCGGGGAAAGTAGTGATTTTTATTTTTTTTTTTGGCGAATTTTTTCCAAAAATCACGAAATTTTAATTAAATTCATAATTCCTCGCCTCGGTAGTCATTTTTTTCTTTTGATAATTGTTTATACTAATGTCGTGTGCCATTTAAAAAAAATTCCAAGTAGTTCCAAGTCGGGGAAAGCAGTGATTTTGAATTTTTTATTGAAATTCCAGGATTTTTGGAAAAAAATTCGACAAAAAAAATAAATATCACTGCTTTCCCCGACTTGGAATCACTTGAAATTTTTTTAAAATAACGTCTAATGTCAAAATAAACAATTATCAAAAGAAAAAAGTGACTACTGAGGCGAGGAATTATGAATTTAAATGAAATTTCGGAATTTTTGGAAAATTCGTGACACAAAAAAAATTCAAAATCACTGCTTTCCCCGACTTGGAATTACTTAAAATTTTTCTTAAATAACGTGTAATATTAACATAAACAATTACAGGGTGTCTACTAACCGGGAATTCCGGGAAAACCGGGAAATAACCGGGAATTTTATTTGACCGGGAAAAACCGGGAATTAGCCGGGAATTTTATACCGAACCGGGAATTTTTTCACAAAAATTAAAAAAGTTTTATTATTTTAATTTGTTTTTAAAAAATCAATTTTTATTTCAATTTTTATAGATATTTATACTGTTCTCTAAATTTAAGTTACTTAAAAATAATTAATTTGATGATAAAAAATCAGTTACGAATTCAAATATATTATGTAAATAAATTTTTAAAAAATTATGGAGTTAATAGAAATATTGCGAAATTCGACTGAAAATATGTAATTAAATTTGTTAAAGAAATTCATTAGAAACTTTTTAACAAATAGAATTTTCAAAGTATTTTAATTTAATAATTTATTAATAATTGAATATTATAAAGAGTAAAATTCTAATGTATTCATGTTTCTTACTGCGAAGATTAATAATTAAAATTTTTATTAGTTAATTTAAAAAATATACATACTTAAAATTGTTTAATGAAATTGAACTTTCGCAAAATTTTTTTTAAATCTAAAAAATAAAATTGTTGTAATTTTTCAATTCTATTGTTTCAAGATAATTGAATTTTTCTAAACAAATCATTGAAATTTTTTTACTTTTTTTGAAAAATAATTGAATTTTTTTAAAGAATTTTATTTAAATTTTTCGAAAATAATCAAGGGAAGTTAGTGACCATAATTATAATTTTATTTTTAAAATTTTAAGTCCCTCTTACAGTTTTAAATCAATTTTTTGCTTCTAAAAATTATACTATTCTATTATTATTTAATAATTATAATTATTGAACTTCTCTTAAATTTTTATCATTTTAAATTTCTGAATGTTCAAATAAATGATATTTATTTATTTCTTGAGCAAATTAAATGTTTATTACATATTAAGTAAATAATTAATTATTGCTGCTTATTATTTTCAAAAATTTTAATAAAATTCTTCACAAAAATTAAATTATTTTCATAAATAATAGCATTTTTTGGAAGGATTCAATTATTTTTATAAATAGTAAAATTCTTTGCAGAAGTTCAATTGAGCTCCCGCGGGCAATAACTCGATCTGCGCTCGGACGCACTCTCTAATACCAGTCGGGTGGCAGTGAGTGGCGCAGAGGCGCTCACTGCTCCCCGACTGGTACTAGCGCTTGCGTCCGAGCGCAGATCGAGTTATTGCCCGCGGGAGCTCAATTATTATCAATGTAATTTTAATAAAATTGAAAAATCCAATTTTCAATTATAATTATAAAGAGACAAGATTATTTTTAAAAACTTTAAAAAATTCTTTGTTTAATTCAAGTATTTTCCAAGTTTTTAATTAAAATTATTGAAAAAAACATTATTTTCAGAAAATTTAATGATTTATTTATGTTTAAAATCAAATTTAAATTTACATTTGATAAGAAAAAAAAACCGGGAAAAAATTAGGATATAGCCGGGAAAAACCGGGAAATAACCGGGAATTTTGTTAAACGAAAATAGTAGACACCCTGAATTATCAAAAGAAAAAATTAACTACCGAGGCGGGGAAATTATTAAATTACTTAAAATTCCCGGATTTTCCAAAAATCCGTGACAAAAAAACTAAAATTACTGTTTTCCCCGATTAGGAAACGTACAAAATTTTTTTAAATTGCGTCTAACATTAAAATAAACAATTATCAAAAGAAAAAAATGACTACCGAGGCGAGGATTTATGAATTTATTTAAAATTTCGTGATTTTTGGAAAAAATTAAAAAAATAGAATAAAAATCACTGCTTTTCCTACGTTTTTTTTATTCTAGGGTTTAGAGGGTTTACTTGGGTTAAAAATATACAAGGAAAATTTGTATCCTGAGAAAATTTTTTTTTAAGTTTTTCGTTGAATCAACGTTGGTAACTTCAGTTTCATTAGTAATTTCCTCTCTAAAAACAAACTTTTCATACAAGTACGAAGGTTTTTTATTGTTTACAATTACATGTGTAAGACAGCCGATGTACCAAAGTCGTCTGTTACTAACACTAAGCCAACCTAGCTGTAACCTATATGGAGTTACATGTTCATCCCTCTTTAAATCAAATATAAATCTTATACATGAATTAAGGAGTTTCTCAAGTTTATAATTTAATTCTTCAGTCATATCATTATATACAACACAACAGTAATCAAAATGAGGGAAAACCAATGACGTAACAAGTTTCGTCTTTAATTCAACCGTAAGGGCTTTGTTATTTGTTTTGAATTGTGATAAGGTGGCATAGACTCTCTTGCACATTTTGCCAACCTGCTTATCCCAGAAAAGAGTTGGCGTAAAGATAACACCCAAATTTTTAACTAAATCAACAAAAGGGATGGTATTATCATTAATTTTTATTAAAGAGCAGTCACTCAAATTTATTTTATTTACATACCAAGTACACAGTAAAAACAAAGTCTTAAATTTAATGGTGGCTAGGGGGCCGTACACATAATACGTCACGCGATTTTTGACCATTTTTAACCCCTCCCCCCCCCCTATGTCACACTTCGTCACAAATCTTGAACCCCCCTCCCCCTACGTCACGTCACACACGTAAATTTCACTGTAAATTTTATACATTAGACAATATATACGTATATTATATCTTACACTCTAAATTATTGAATCAGTTAAGAATATCTGATTTAGAAGCAAAAAATCAGTCACTAATTCAAATAGTAATATTTTTTTCTGACAATTAGTTGAAAATAACTGATGGTAATATGACATTATCACTCGTTCGTATTAGTTATTTTAATAATTAAAATTTAACGATCATTACGAGTCAAAACGAGTCATTACGAGTCATTACGAGTTCAATACAATTGTTTTTGATTGATTCAATTAGTCACGTTTAACTACCTACATAGCACCGAAACTTTCCTAAAAATTTACTAAAGATTTACTCGCAAGCTTCGAAATATTTAAATGCAAAGTTTAGTTAAAATTGTGTAAAGATTTAAATATCCCACTTCAATAAATGTTTAGCGGGAAACTTTTCCGAAAATTTAAGTTAAATTTTCAGGAAGATTTTCACGAAAGTATAGTCGAAAATGCAATTCAAATGTTCAGGAAAGTTTCAAGCTATATTTTTAAGAAAATTTGACGATAGACATTTATTGGAGTGAGAAATTTAAATCTTTACACAATTTTAAAATAAACTTTGCAAGTAAATTTTTTGACTTATGCAAGCAAATCTTTAATATACAATATTTAGAAAAATTTCGGTGTTTTGTGGATAATTTTTCAGTTATTTTTAACTGATTCAGAAGCAAAAAGTCAGTCACTGCTGATTGACAGTTAAAACCATGATTTTTAACTGATTCAAATTAAGAGAATATCCCGTGTAGAAATTTCGCTATGGTCCGGATCAGGGACTGATCGGGCCTTCCATATTAGGAAATGAAACACACGGCCCGATATGGTCCTGATCAGGAAATCTACATTTGATCGTCGACCCGATCTGGCCCAGGTCGGGCCGTGTGTTTCATTCCCTAATATGGCCATAATAGGGATATTTCTACACGGGATATTATTTATCATATTATAAATAATATGCCAATAGATGTTAAACAGATACATAATAGATATTAAATAGTTCAAACCATTTTTAACTTGTTTTATTTAGAAAAAGTGACATTGTCACATATAATTTCTTATTATCTTTGAATTTAAAAGATCGTGACGTAACACATGAGTTCACCCCCCCCCCTCCCCCATGTCACACTTAGTCACAATTCTCAGACCCCCTCCCTCCCCCTAGCCGCGTGACGTATTATGTGTACTGCCCCTAGTTTTAATTTTTGACTTATCTTAAGCTATCAACTTTATTTAATCATAAAAACTAACTGAAAATTAAAGTTAGTTGTACTCTTACTTAAATAAAACTCAGTTTGTAATTTATTTGTAATACACCGGACTTAATTTCAGATCCAATGGTATTAATAAAAAGTTGGATGAAATTAACTTCTAATAAGGTACGCTAACAGCTGACTGTAAGTCTGGCGAGGCTGAAAAAGTTGATTGTGACGTCACAAGGGACGCAATTTGCAAACGTGAAAAGTCTGAATAGCGCGTCGCGTCGCCGGTTTACTTTTGACTCGTGTTTTATTAATAATATATAAGTCCATAAATTATATTTATAATTGGTGAATCTTAGACAGAAAGTTTAGTTTTATTAGTATGTTAATATTTTAATTCGATTATAAACAAGTTTATAAACAGTTTATAATCTTAATTTCACCTAATATATATGTGCATTAGCATTTAATTCTTTATCTTAAAGAGAGAAATTTCCACTGATAGTTTTAATAATTGTTGTTTGTTATAAGAAATTAAATGTGACATATGTTTATTTTAATAAAGTTCAAGAATATGGACATACACTGTAAAAACCGCCTTTAAGCTCGAAATTTGTCTTTTTTCAAGGTGTAAACGGAAGACTCCCCAATTGATACAAGTAAGGTGTTAAATAAACTGAAATTCAACTGTAAGCTTGTAAGAAGGCTGAAATTTAGCTAGATGGTTTGGCTAAATTTTAGCCTTCTTACTAGCTTACAGTTGAATTTCAGTTCATTTAACACCTTACTTGTATCAATTGGGGAGTATTCTTTTTAAACTTCTAATCATTACTGACATTCAGCCAACATGGTCTACTTCCGTTTACACCTTGAAAAAAGACAAATTTCTGGCTTAAAGGAAGACTTTATTTTTACAGTGTAGAGCCGATTATCATAGAATAAGTCTTATTAAAATTTATTTTAAGAATATTTACTTTCGCCCAATTAAATACAGCCTTAATATCCTCATTTATTAACCTTATATTATTCTGCAAGTCTTCCAAACTAGAATGTATATAGATCTGCAAATCATCCAAAAAATACATATGCTTAGAATACTTGAGAACACCCCTGAAGTCATTAGTATAAAGTAGGAACAATAGAGGACCCAGCACTGAACCTTGAGGAACTCCAGTTCCAATATGTCCCCACTCAGATAGCTCTCCATCTGGTCCCACAACAGCCTGGGTTCTACCTGACAAGTACGAAGCAAACCATCTTATGACTGATCCCGACAAACCTATGGCTTTGAGTTTCGATATGAAGCTGAAGTCCGCAACGTTTTTAAAAACGAAAAATCAAAAAAGAATTTTTTTCCAAGTTAAATTCATCTCTAATTTTCATGTTTCTTAATTTTTAAGAAATTAATTGTTGCTTAAGATACAATTATTAAAAATTAACATGATTTAGAATCAAAAATAAAAAAACCGTCCCTTTATTTTTTCGTTTTCGTTTTTAAAAACGTTGCGGACTTCAGTATCATGTTTCGATAGCAAGATAGTATGAGGTACCGAGTCAAAAGCTTTACTAAAATCAAAGAACACCACTATGGTTACCTTCTTTTGATCAATCGCTTTACATATATCATCAGTTGCACCAGCCAAGAGTGTTTGTGTACTAAACCCTTTTCTGTAACCAGACTGAAAAGGGCTAAGAACATCATTTGTCTCAACAAATTCATTCAACTGGTAAAACACAACTTTCTCAAGAACCTTTGACAATGAAGAAAGAATAGCAATAGGTCTGAAGTCCCCCGGCTGCTGTGGAATTTTCACCTTTCCAATAGACTTAATCAAAACCCTCTTCCAATCTTCCGGAAAAATAGAAGTCTGTAGAGACATATAGAAAAGATCAAGCACGTAAGGAAACAACACTGGTATTCCTTTCATGATATAACTTATAGACAGTCCATCAGATCCCTGCGCCTCTGTTTTGATACTTTTAAGATCTTTTAATAATGTAGAGGGACAAATATCTTCAAAGAAAAACAGACCGTCATTAAACTCATAATTAACAAGCAAGTTCGAAATAAAGGAAGGTGTCACATTAAAAGATGAGTCTCCACAAACAGATAAAAAGTAATCATTAATTATATTCACATTAAAATTAAGTGGAGAATCATCTCTTTTATCTTTAGCAATGCCAATACGTCTTAGCTCCTTCCAAAGTTTTCCCGAATCCGTTATGTTTTTTAGTCTACCAGTGTTGTACCTATCACGCGCTTGCTTAACCAAAGAATTTATAATTAAGTAAATAAATAATTATTTTTCTATTATTTTGCAGATTACAAGAGGATCCACCTACAGGAGTTTCGGGAGCACCAACCGATAACAACATTATGATTTGGAATGCAGTCATATTTGGGTAATCTTTCTTTTTTCAATTACAATTGCACGAAAATTAATTTTACACAATTTTTAATTGATATTGCAATAAATAGAATTTTTTTGAACTTTAACTCTAACTTTCAGGCCACACGACACACCGTTCGAAGATGGGACCTTTAAACTTACTATAGAATTCACGGAAGAATATCCGAATAAACCACCCACTGTAAGATTTGTTAGTAAAATGTTCCACCCGAATGTATACGCTGACGGAGGAATTTGTCTCGATATCCTGCAAAATCGTTGGAGTCCCACCTACGATGTCTCTGCAATTTTAACTTCTATACAGGTACAAATATTATATACTTTCAAATTAAAACTAGGGCTGTGCAAACACTCGACTTTTATACATCAACTCGAAATTTTATAAATTTGCAATTTAAGGTTTTTAAAAAATAATTTTAAATTAATTTCGAACAATTTAGCGAACTGGGCAATCGAAAAAAACCCGGCAATTTTGTTTAACTGGAAAAAGAAACGAGAATTTTTTTTCAATTCCGTTCCACTACCAAAACAAAAGACTATCGTGTGTAGATCTTTTAATATACAATTTATAGCATTAAAAGTATTCTAAATATTAGAGATGTGCAAAAAGCTCGAATTTCCGAGCCGAAATTTTTTCGAGCCAAGCCAAGCCGACTCGATGTATCGAGTACTCGAAAAACTCAAGTACTTGGGTAAATTCGAGTACTTGATTAAATTCGAGTACTCGAGTGAAATCGAGTACTCGAATGGATTCGAGCTTTTAAATGACAAAAAAAACTATTAATAAGTAGAAAATTTCAAATTTATGCGAATTAAAGTCAATAAATCTTCAATTTCAAAGTGTATTTCAATTTGCTAATTATAATATATGCGAAAATTATATGATTTTTCTCTAGAACTCGAATTTACTTAAGAGCTCGAAAAAATTCGAGTACTCGAATGCACTCGAGTACTTGAAAAAATTCGAGTGCTCGAAATTATTCGAGATTTTTGCACAGCTCGGCTCGAGCTCGAACTGATTAGGCTCGGCTTGGCTCGGCTCGAAAAATGAAAAGCTCGAAAAAGCTCGATCGAGCCTCGAGCTTCGAACTTTTTGCACATCTCTACTAAATATACAATGAAGTAATTAATGATTTTAAAAAAGAATTTCTTCATATTCAAGAAGGCTAGAGATAGACACCCTGCTTTCGCATATTTTAAAATAATACCACTTTTTTTGGTCCAATATGAAACTTCTTTCCATTTTTATAATGTGGAAAGTACCCAGATAGCCAAGCGTATAATTTACTTTACAGTTGTCAATGACATATGCCTCCAGTGCACATGGTGCAATGATTTTTTGTTGAAAAGCTGACTTTTAGGATGCAATACAAAAGTTTTAATATTTGTAACATGTGTCTTTATATTTAAATTAGAAATCAGTGGTTAAGTTTCTATTCATATATATGTAATATGTGTATACTATTAATCTCAAGTGGTTTTGCTTTGTCATGATGCTTATTTTTATCATTAGCGTATTCTAATTACAGTGAGTTCTCGCGAGTCGTTCAATTCTCGAAAATTTTCAAGATCATAAAACTCACGAGTCGTTCAACGCATAAGCCACGCCTCCAAGGCGATTTCAGGGATGTGTGAAACATATTTATCGCCCCGAAAGACACAATATTCAATGACTTTGGTCCGTTTAAATTACACAGCACTGAGCACCGGCGCGCGCATGCTAGAAATTGAACGACTCGTGAATCGGACACTGATCAGCTGTTGAACGACTGGCGAGTTTGAACGACTCGCGAGAACTCACTGTACTACAACAATGGACAACTTCTGATTTTTAAACTGTTTTGTGCTTTACACTTGAGAAAAAAATTTTAATTCAAGAGTTACAATAAAATATATAGAAATCGCAATATTTTTTAATAATTTTTCTTATAGATCACATATACATGTGTTATCATTTATAGGTTAGAACGTCCAAATTATTTTCCTTACAATAAAGTACTTTAGATTATAAATGGTCATTATTCACAGATATTTTAAAGAATGTTTAAAAATTAGCAAAGCAAAACCACAAAAGAATTATTTAATTAAAATACTTCAAAACACTGATTATTCTAATAAAAGTAAATGTGGTTACAAGTTACATGATTTACATAATATCTTTAGGTACAAAAAAATAACTCTTTTAAAAAATAAATTACTTCAAAATTAAATTGATCTTAGTAATGATTCTTTCAGAAAATTTATCATCAAATATTAAATTAAAATAGTTAATACTTAATACAGACTAAAGCACAAGAGGGGGAGGGATATAAAAGGCTTTACACGCGGTACTAGTATAGTACGAATACAGTAACCGTACGATAAACTAAATTACAAAAACCTTCAGTACACCATACTATTATCGTACTCGTATTATACGAGCATAAGCATACTGGTACGACATACTAGTACAGTACCTGTTACCGTGCGAAGGTAGATGGCGAGTACAGTACCAGTACGATTAATACGCCATAGTCGTATTGTACATGCATCGTACTAGTACGCTGGTTATCTGGGTAACTATAATCAAATCTTTTGTCCTCAGTAAAAAATAATTTTCAAAATACTTAACAATTGCTATTAATTACGAACCAATTTAGGTTTAATAAATTTTATTTGTTTATTTTCAATACCTTAAAACGACATTAATTTGAAACTCCTTTATTCTAATTTGACAACTTTTTTTTACAGTGTTGAAAAATAAAATTATTATTTATTAAAACAAATTTCCAAAATTTAATTTTAAACATTTTTCAAAATTTATTTTTGATTTAGACTTGTTTTTACATTTTTATGAATTTTGTCAATAATAACATAATTGCCGTAACTCTCGAGAAGTTAGAGAATTTTATCCAAAGTAAACAAAAAATATCAAATTTCAAGAAATGTACTACAAAAATTTTAATTTTTGTTTCCTTTAAATATACTGGACACTTTAAATTTTACTTCAACTACAGTTTGTATTCTCGAATAACTTTCTGAAAATTATTAAAAATAATCAATTTTGAAAAGAACTTTAGTAAAAAAAAATTGAATATTTGAAGAGTTACAATAAAGATTTTTAGGAATAATTAAATTACAAAAAGTTTCAAATTAAAATTTTTGAATAACAGCCACTGCGTGGTCTGGAAGGGATAATACCAGTCAGGTAGCAGTGAACAGCCCAGAGAGCGCACTGCTACCTGACTGGTACAGTAGTGTTCGATGAAGCCTACTCAGACGAACGTGTTGCACTCATGGGTATATATAAGTCCAACACGTTCGTCCGAGTAAGGAGCAATTCCACGCCAAGTGATCATAAGAATTTTCGATGATTTTAGCAATATTGAAAATACTTTCAGAATTTGTTCCTTTTTATAGATGGAATAAAAGTGTATAAAAGTTTTTTCAAAATTTTCCAAATTTTTTGAGTTACCTCTTATTCAAAATTTTGGTCGGTTTTTCAAAAAGCCACATAACTTTTTTTCTTGTTAACCTATTAAGATAATTATTTTTGGAAAATACTCATAATAAAAAGTACTTTAAAGAAAAAAATAAAAATTTTTTTAAAAAAAATTTTTTTTGCCCGAAAAAAATTTCAAAAAATTTTTTGAATTCAAATTTTGAAAAAATATATCTTTGATTTGAAAATTTTTTGTTTGGTAAATATTGCCAATAAAGTAAAGAATACTTTCTGTAAATTTAATTATGGGACAACAGTAACTTTACGAGAAAAAAAATAAAGTGTCCAGTGCGGCGTGCCGGGACTTGTGCATGTATTCACTTATGGCGGCGCAAGTTTCGTTTCAAATCACTCTACAGGTCACAATTCTTTACCAAAACGCTTTTTCTATTTTTCTAAATCTTCGTAATTAAATTCTCTATCGATCTCTCGAGCCTTATTTTTAAATTTCTGTTTTTAAACATTTTTTAAATAACAATAAGTATTAAAAAAATCATAAAATCGTAAAATATATGTGACGCTCCACGAGAAAAGGGACCTTATTTACTCTTGTCATAAGGTCCCTTTTCTCGTGGAGCGTCACATATTTTTTTAGTTTTATTGATTAAGAAAATTAATCAAAAAACCTATTGAAATAATGTTTGATTGATAAAAAATAAAAAATTATTTAGTTAAAAATTGTTATACAATAAAAAATTATTATTTTGTCATAAACTGTACTTAGGGTTAAAAATTTATATTTTTTCTGAATTGTTCAATTTGTCGTAAGTAAAATATTCAAGTATAAAAGAAAAACTATAAATTAATTATTTAAACATTGTTTAAACAATTTATTTTGTTATTTTTTTAATTTACTATAGTTAAAATTATAAATTCTTAGTTTTTCTCATTTGTGTAATTTTTGATAACTTAAACAATTATAATAGAAAAACTAAAAATTTATTATTTCACCCTTGTTTAAAAAGTTTAGTTTTCAACTTTTCAATTAATTGTTTACAAAAAATTAGAAATTTCTAACCCAAATGAAACTTATGAAAAAATGAAAAAAGTACATAAGAAACAAATATAAATTTCTTACCCTAAGTATAAATAGTTTATGAAAAAAATAGCAACAATTAATTGTTTAAACAATGTTTTAATAAATAATTGTTTTTTATCATCAGTAGATAAATACTCATGAAAAATTGTACAATTGAGAAGAAACTAATAATTTCTAGGCCTAAGTACAGTTTATAAAAAAACAACAATTAATTAATTAAAAAGTGTTTAATTAATTTATTTTTTATCAATCTAACATTATTTTAATAGGTTTTTTAAATAATTTTCTTAATCAATAAAACTAAAAAAATATATTTTACGATTTTATGATTTTTTTAATACTTATTGTTATTTAAAAAATGTTTAAAACCAAAAATTTAAAAATAAGGCTCGAGAGATCAATAGAGAATTTAATTACGAAGATTTAGAAAAAAAGAAAAAGCGTTTTGGTAAAGAATTGTGACCTGTACAGTGATTTAAATCGAAACTTGCGCCGCCATAAGTGAATACATGCACAAGTCCCGGCACGCCGTGCTGGACACTTTATTTTTTTTCTCGTAAAGTTACTGTTGTCCCATAAATAAATTTACAGGAAGTATTCTTTACTTTATTGACGATATTTACCAAAAAAAAAATTTTCAAATCGAAGATATATTTTTTTCAAAATTTGAATTCAAACAATTTTTTGAAATTTTTTTCGGGCAAAAAAATTTTTATTTTTTTCTTTAAAGTACTTTTTATTATGAGTATTTTCCAAAAAAAATTATCTTAATAGGTTAACAAGA